GCCTAGCCTTAAAGATTGGATAAAAGTTGAGAATGAGTGTCAATTTTTGGCAATTTTCAACGAAGTGACAAATATCATTTCTGGAAGTGACTATCTAACTTCTAATTTGTTCCTTACAGAGGTGTGGAGAATAAAATAGATATTGAATGAGAAATTAGTGGATGATAATGAATATATTCGAGCAATGACTTTGAAGATAAAGGTCAAATTTAACAAGTATTGGGGTGAATGCAATTTATTGATGGCTATGGCTACTGTTTTAGATCCAAGATACAAAATGATACTTATTGATTTTTGTTTTCTAGAGATCTACCCAGAATCTGAAGCTACTAGAAACATCTCTATGGTTCGTGAGGCTCTATATGAGCTTTACAATGAGTATGTTTCTATTCACACCCCATCAAATATTGAGAAAAGTTTTTTGCACAACACACGAGGAACTGGTTCAAGTAGTTCTATGCAAGGTGTGGGAAAATATGTTGTAACTGGAAAATCGAAATTTGAATCTTTCGTTAGAAAAGCTGACACCATTCAACCTATGAAATCTGACTTGGACATTTATTTAAAATAAGGTGTTTATATTTGTAACGAAGATTTAGATTCCCATTTTGATGCATTAGAGTGGTGGAAAGTGAATAATCTGAAGTTTTGTATATTGTCTAAAACGGTGTGTGATATATTATCAGTTCCTATCACGTCAGTAGCTTCAGAGTCTACATTTAGTGCTGGTGGCAGAGTCATTGATCCTTATCGTGCATCATTGTCAACAGAAACTGTCCAAATATTGTTGTGTGGAGCTAATTGGGTACGTGCTTTACATGGACTGAAAAAGACACCGGATGTAAGTATAATCTTTTATCCTATATAATTAAAGTCCATTCTAATAATCAATTTATGTGAAAAGTAGAAGAAAAAATAGATGAAATCAATTTTTTTGCTTCTTTTCATAGGCTGGCGAGCCATCTTTTAAAGAGATTTTGCTGCCTCAATGGTTTCTTTCTTGTAATTATGACATCTTAACAAGGTATGTTTAATCTTTATAATTTTTTTCATTAAATGCAAGAGTTATTCATGATAATTATTTTAAGATTTTACACTAATATTAATCTTTATCAAATGAACCAGATTTTTGAGAAGTGTAGTGCAAATGAACCAGATTTTTTGAGCTTTATCAACAAAGTTGAAGGAAACTTTTGGAACTTTTGGAGCTTGATTCAAGTGAAGACATCATCAGACAGTTTCAGTTTCTCTTTTTGCTTATTAAGTGAAACTTTAAAGACTCTTGTTCTTTTTTAAGTAATTTAATTTTATATTTTTGAGTTGGGATATGGAAGTCCTATGTTTTGATTAGTTTGGTTTTAAAGTTTGAATGGTCTATTTGCAGATTGCTATAATAGTTATTGCAATTGAATGGTCTGTTTGCATATTGTGCTATTTATATTATTGATTTATTGTTGCATTAGGATGTTTTATTTGATTTTCAAGATTGGCAGATTTTTTTGGGCTGTTGTTATTGATTTATTGTTGCATTAGGATGTATCAATTGTTGCATTAGGATGTTTTATTTGATTTTCAAGATTGACAAATTTGTTTGGGCTGTTGTTATTGATTTATTGTTGCATTAGGATGTTTTATTTTTGGCTCTGTTCATAGCTTAATTTGTTTGTGTTCGAGCTCGAGCTCGTTCATTTGTAAACGAGCTATGTCGAGCCGAGCTCGAGCTTTATAAATATTTAGCACTCGAGCTCTAGCCGAGCCCGAACATTATCAAATTCTATCGAGCCGAGCTCAAGCTTCGTAGAACTCGACTTGGCTCGGCTCATTTGCAGCTCTACTTGTAAACATGCCATGGGTTGTATATACCTTACTAGGGAGAAACCTGAAGCTTATGTACATAATTACTTTAGCAAGGAGACATATTTGAGGACATATTCTTTCATGATAAATCATGTGCCAGGGAAACATGATTGGATTGAGACTAGATATGATGCCATAGCCCTTCCTTACTATAGAAAACCAACAAGGAGGCCTAGAAAAAAGAGGAAGAAAGTTGTTGATGAGGCCAAGAATGTACAGAGGGTGTCAAGGAAGTACAAAACAGTGCAATGTGCAAAGTGTATGGGTTTTGGACACAACAGAAGATCATGCAAAGGTTTAATACACAAGAAATCCACAATGTTCAAGATGAGGGGTAGACCAACCACCAGTTCCAGAAAATTTACAAGTCAACCAAGCAAGGTAAATTCATTTCAATTTCAGTAATTTCATTTGATGCATTTCAATTTGAATTGAATTGTTATTGTAGTTCTCAAATGCTTCATCTCAATGAGCTACAAGACACACATCTTCATCCCAACTATCTACCACTCATGTTGTTTTATCCCAACAAGCTGCTAGTACCCATCCATCTTCATCCCAACCAGCTGTCATTACTCCATCACAACCAACAATGCCTTGTGGAGCAAGTGCAAGTACAAGTGGATTTGCAGCAGCTGGAATGAATTGAAACAAAATAAGTTTTTTGTAATTAAAATGTTGTTGACTTGTTGGAATGTTATTGAATTGTACTCATAGCACCTGTTCTTTTTGTTTAGGGTTTAGATTGTTATCTTTTGTTGGAACGCACAAGTTTTTGTAATTAATATATTAGAATGTTGTTGACATTAAAACAGGTTTTGTAATTCAATTATTGACATGTTGGTCTTAGGGAGCAGGTTTTGTAAACATATATTGATATATTGATGCTTAATGAACATGTTTCACATGTTAGAATATTATACATGTTTTGTAATTGAATTGTTGAACTGTTGGTCTTAGACAGTCAAACAGCATAATCCTTCAAAAATATATTTCATTTATAGAAAAAATAATCTTCAATATTACATATCTTCCTTCATCATATCAGGTTACATAACACTTTTTTTTTTCTTTTTTCTTTTTTTTTTTTTTGCTTTCATTTGAGAGTACTTGCACTATAGCATAAAAATAGTATCCAGCTTCCTAGTAACATTTTTCGATACAACTTTTCTTTTCTTTTTTTGAGCCTTTTCTATTTCTAACTCCATATGATTTATTTGTAGCATGAGTCTTGGTAGTAGATCAGGTGAGCGGTGTCACAATGGTGGGTTAATCCACTCAAAATATTCACAAGTGGCATGAATCTGAAATTTTTAATAATTAAGTTTAGATTTTTTTCAATATTATATAACATAACAAATTAATTAATTAATTAATTAATTATTAAATATTGAAAGTGATTACCTCATAATTTACACATCCTATAAATCTTCTTCTCATATTTGCATTTGTCCACCCTGTTCTAACTGGAGATCTTTGGCCATAGAAGCATGTACGAGCTAAACTTTGTTCACTATAGTGGGAACCTTGAGAGGATGACATCTTTAATAATGGAAGTGGTCTTAGAATTTTTTTGGTTGGAAAAAGTGGGTTTGGAATTTTTTTTGGCTAGAAAAACCTGTTTGGTTGCGTCATGTTTCTATAAGCAAATGGCTGGCCAAATTGGAGGTAAATTGGTCATTTCATATTTCTATTTTGGCGCCAAAACACTTAAAACCAGCGAGGACACGCTTCTCTAGCGTGTGTTCCACACGCACTATTAACTCTACCGATTCCTGTCACTTTTACACTTTAGTCAAAACTGCAAGGTGTTTATAAGTATATTTATAAACATTAGTGGTAATGTGAAAAAGGCATTTAACCACGTGGGGTAAAATGTAATTACCCTTTATAATATTATAAAGGACCTTAAAAGAAAAAAAAATTATTCATAATTATTTTTGTTAATTAATTAATGGATTTGATTAACAACAACCTCTCTCTGTCGTTTCCAGATCTTTAGAATCAATTGGATCATCCATTGAGGCCGAAGCAGAATCAAAAGAAAAAGAAAAAGAAAAAAAATCATATATAAAATCAAGCTAAAGGTAAGAAATCGATAAACCCTGGTTTGTTTACATCTAAATTTACAAATTTTCCCTAACATCTCGATTACATTACCTTCATTGCTCTAGATTTTGGTTATCCACAACTGGGTTTTCATTACTCCATTTATTATGGCTGTTCAATTCAGCTGAAATTTGATATATACGTGTGTGTACATGTAAATCCAGCTTTGCTTGTATTTATATTCCAATTTTTATTCACCCAAAAAAATTCCAATTTTCCCCAAATATCTATGAAAAGCTACTTCAATTGCCATGCATTTAGGTTCTTCAAAGCTGTGTTCACAATGGTTTAGTGAGGAATTGATATGTATGTATATTATGTTACGAATCCGTATAAACACTGGTTTGTTTACTTCTAAATCTACAATTTTCTCTAACATCTTGCGTAGATTACCTTCATTGCTCTAGATTTTGATTATTCCCAACTGGGTTTGCATTACTCCATTTGTTATGGTTGTTCAATTCAGCTGAAATTTGATATATATGTGTTTGTACATTGTAAACCCAGTTTTGCTTGTATTTATATTCCAATTTTCCCCAAATATCTATGAAAAGCTATTTCAATTGCTATGCATTTAGGTTCTTTGCAGCTGTGTTCTCAATGGTTTGTCAGCTCATTTGAAGTTTGATCTAGTGAGGAATTGATATTTATGTATATTATGTATATGTATAAACCCAGGTTTGCTTCCATCTGCGTTTACAACTTTTCCCAAATTCTTGAATACATTACTGACAGTGCTCTAGATTTAGATTGTTCACAACTGGGATTTCATTACTGTTCATCAATTTAACTCAAATTTGATATATCAAGGAGTTGATATATATATATATATGTGTGTGTGTGCGCGCGCACACGCGCGCATGAAAACCCAGTTTTGTTTGTATCTATATCTTCAATTTTCTCCAAATTTCTATGAAAAAACTACTTCAATTGCTCTGTATTTAGGTTCTTCACAGCCATGTCTATAATGGTTTGTTAGTTCATTTGAAGTTCAATATAGTGAGGAATTGATATGTATGAATGTATGTATATAGGGCCTACAAAAATAAGAGATGGGAGGGGAGGAGAGATGGTGTGTGGTGACTGGGGGAAGAGGCTTTGCCGCCAGGCATTTGGTGGAAATGCTCATTCGATATGACATGGTTTTGGTTCGTATTGCTGACTTAGGCCCTCTATCAAACTAGACCCCGCCGAGGAGAAGGGAATCCTTGGCGAAGCTATACAGTCAGGTCATGCTCAATACGTATCGGTTGATCTTCGGGACAAGTCCCAAGTACTTGAAGGTCACACCCATTCCATCTATTTGTATATTTTCATCGAGGTTGTTTCACTTCTTTGCTAATACACTTTCCATCCATTGTAGATAACAAGTTTCACTGTTTCAGATAGTTAGGAAGTAAGTTTTAAGACGATTGAAACTTGAAAGTTAAGAGCATCTGCATTAGGCTCAACGAATTTTGTGCCAAATTATAAGTGGAAAACTACTTTTCTATTTTATGTTACTACCTTTTTAAATACGCCATCCATTAAACTCTCTATTCTAGCTTTATTTTATTAAGAAATTATTTTATTATCCATTATCTCAATGAACACTACCCCCCCCCCCCCCCCAAAAAAAAAAAAAAAAAAAAAAAAAATCGAAATAGTGAGGCCCAAGCTATCAAAAAATGATTAAATATGGCAAGTAAAACATGAAAACATTGCTCCATCAGCCTCAACACGAAGCAATGTTTTCATGCTTTACTTGCTATAATTAGCCAAAAAGTTAATTTGTTGATTGAGATTAATGTGGATGCTCGCGAGTGATTTCTAATGGGTTAGGCTAAATTTCATTTATTGACTACATCTCACTTACCATCTGTGTTCTGAAGCTTGCCAAGGAGCTGAGGTTGTTTTCCATATGGCTGCCCCGGATTCATCCATTAACAACCATCATTCCGTTAATGTCAAAGGTAAAAATGTAGCTCAAGGGGACTGTATCAGCAGTTAAATCTTTTGTGTACATTAGAAATTCTCTCTCCTCTGTTCCATGCTATTGCGTGTATGTACTTGGAAGTTTTATTCTGATCATGACCTGCAGGAACAAAGAATGTAATTGGTGCTTGTGTTGACCTCAAAGTTAAGCGACTTATATATACCAGCTCTCCTAGTGTTGTCTTTGATGGAGTTCATGGAATAATTAATGGGGATGAGTCGTTGCCATATCCAGCTAAGGTATTGCCTATACCAGATGACTTTCATCAAAATTTTATGTTTCAAATCAAGAATCAAGATCAATTGTGATTACCAGCTGCAGAAAAACTTACATTATATTATATTTTCCTCCTCCTTTCTTGCTTTTCTTTTTGTTTATTTAAGAATCAAGAATCAAGAATCAAAATTTCCTTTTGTAATTGCTCGAAATAGAACTATGAGTGCATTTGTACATTGTTATATGACTTTCTTCACAATTTGAGATTTAGTCAATTTCTAATTTTTCCAAAGAGCAAGCCGTACTTGCTTCTTTTTTCTTTTTTTATTTATTTATATATAAAGACAAGAAAAAAAGATTTACTTGTTGGTCATCCGATTCTGCTCATATGAAGGTGCTAGTCAGCGGGCCCTTACCTTCTTGAACCTATTTTTATTCCATTATGTTTCTTTCTCCATTTTCATTTTGTCTATTTTATCCATTACCAAGCACTCTTGCATGTATACATGTAAAACAGAGAGAAAAAAAAAATTTAAAGCCAGTCCATTTGACAAGCCTCCTTTATGATCATCTCTATACCGCTGCAGTCTACTAACTTTTCCTTTTTCTTTTGCCTATTCTTCTGTTTTCTGTACTTATTATCAGTTCATTTGTATTAAAAATATTTGTGTCTGCAACTCTTCCAGCACAATGATACATATTCTGCCACTAAAGCTGAAGGAGAGGCCCTGGTCATCAAGTCAAATGGTAGTAATGGGCTTCTAACATGCTGCATCCGTCCTAGCAGCATTTTCGGTCCTGGTGATAAATTACTTGTTCCATCATTGGTATCTGCTGCGAGGGCAGGGAAATCAAAGGTAACCAAGTTTTTTGTCAATTTAATTTCTCAGGTTGTGACCGCCTTACACTTTGATTTTATAATGTTCTAGAAATTCATGTGTTTCATTCAATATCAAGTTGGTGGATAGCTAGGTTCTTAATCATTTGAATCTATATAATTAATAAATGACATAATGTATGTGTTCTTGCACGTAGGGCATGGAAAATTGAGTATTTGTGCTGCATACATTCTCTCTTTCTGTAAAACACTAAACCAGTTACTAACTGAAAATATTTGTATTTCATATGTTTTTGTGATCTTACATTTCAATTTTTATTGGTATTGTTCTTTGTACACTCTTGAATTCTAACATTTATTTTACCACTAGTTTGGTAGTCGTACCACCTCCAAAGGAGAGGTGCATAATTATGTGTGCATAGATATCTAACTTACGGGAAAAAAAAGAAAAGAAAAGAAAAGAATTTAACATTGTTTTCTTTGTTTTATTTAAAATGAGCAGTTTCTTAGTGGTAATGGCAAGAACATGTACGATTTCACTTTTGTTGAAAATGTGGCACATGCCCATATATGTGCTGAACGAGCTCTTGCATCGGAGGCGACAGTTGCTGAGAGAGCTGCAGGGGAGGTAATATTTAAATTCATTTTTTATGTTCTGCTACAGGTGGAAATTATTTAGTTACTGAACCAAATTTTAGCTGTGCCAATGGTTAATTCTCTCTCTCTCTCTCTCTCTCTCTGTATATATATATATATAAGTAGAGCAATTTATTAATAATAAAAAGGAACATGGCATAGTCAAGCTTTGTTATGTAATTTGCTCATAAGTTGGGCAATGACATTTTCTGAATTTGAAGGGCTTTAATTGACAAATTTACAATATCATGTTGGTTTTGCAGGCATATTTTGTAACTAATATGGAGCCAATCAAGTTTTGGGAGCTTGTCTCACTTGTTCTTGAAGGTCTTGGCTATGAAAGGTACTCATCTTCTTGAAGGTCCTAAACTAATTATAGAACCAGTGTAGGCAGCTTTGTCCCAAGTTTTCTAAGTTGTCCTACATTAGAAGAAGGTAGGAGAAGATCCTAGAAGTCACTCTTACGTTTGCTTGGGATCAGACCGAGGGTGGGGTTTACATCACATAATTTCAAGGAGCTGTCTGAAAGCTTTTGAAAACTCTGTAAGATGATATCTATTGAATTTGAAAAATAAGTACATATCAGTGTGTTTGGTTTCAGCTTTCTGAACTCAGTTTTTTGAAAATTAAGTTTTTTGTTTTTTGATTTTTGTTTTTCGTATTTTTTTGTTTTTAGTGAATATTTTTTTTAATTTTAAGCAATTTTTTTACTTTTTTAAATGTACTTTACTTAGATGTATCTAAATAGCGAATTATTTATGAAAAAATATTTTAAAAAATTAATAAATACACAAAAATAAGAAAAATATACTGAATTTTCGTAATTTTTTTGTATTTTTATTGTATTTAGTGAATTTTTTAAGGATTTTTTTTCACAAATATTATACTTTCTAGGTGTATTTATGTTAGGTGTGTTTAAAAATTAAAAAAAAATCAGTGAAAACAAAAAAATACGGAAAACAAAAAAGTAGAATTTTTTGAAAAGTGAATTTTGAAAACTGGAAACAAACAAAGTGTATAGGATTTAGGGCAACTCCTACTCAAATTAATTGTCACCTTAAACTTAGAAACTTAGACTTTGCTCAATGAGATGACAGCATGACTTAAAACTAATACCAATCAACACCTGTGTAGCCGTTGTTTGAGTTTATATCTGATTTCATATAGTTTGCAGGCCAAGAATTAAGATTCCAGTCTTTGTAATAATGCCAATTGCACGTCTGGTGGAGTGGACATATAAGCTGTTAGCCCCATATGGCATGAAAGTTCCACAGTTCACACCATCAAGAGTCAGACTTCTGTCTTGCAGCAGAACATTTAACTGTTCAAAAGCAAACGACCGACTTGGCTACACACCCATTGTACCATTTCAGGTCTCTCCTTATCCAATGAAATAAGTACATTTACATTTGATTTTCCTAATGTGAAATTATGGAATATACTAAAGACTTCTAGGAATGATTTAATTCTAGTTCCTTTGCTTTTAGGGGCTTGAACTTTAGCAAAGTTCTCCATATAGGTTGTATCATTTTTTTTTTTCTTTCTGAATTTGCAGTGCTGCACTTATTTTCTTCAGAGTCACATTAATCTGAACCTCCAAGCGATGATGAACTGTTAATTTCGCCATTGCATAACAATATATATTGATAGTGGATGGCAAATGTTCCCATGTTCAAATGCCCGTGCACACTCCACTTCACCTAACCCACTATCAGCTCCACTACACCTACTACCACATTTTCTTCTATATATAGATTGTATAGGAATTGTAATAGATAATCTTGTAATACAGAATCATCAATCAATCAATAAATACATAAATTCTTACAATATTGATGGTGGATGGCAAATGTTCCCATGTTCAAATGCCCGTGGAAGTGCTCTCAATATTAATAGAATCTTTGTTTAGTTCATTATTTTTGCCACAATGTACTTCTAAATGGACAACATCGATGTGTATGCACATCAGAGAAAGTCAGAGTCTAAATATACGTGGTGCATTTCTACCTTTTATTATGATTCAAATTCGTATGTGACTTGCTGTGTTAATCCTTCATTTTCTATAGGACGGTCTTAGAAGGACAATTGAATCGTACTCGCACTTGAGGGCTGAATGTCAACCTAAAAAGGATGGTCCATCAAAAGCTTTCAAATATCTTGGAAGAGGAAGAGGTAAGAGTGTTAATTATTTTCTTCTCAATACCATATTTATGCTTGCATTTGTTGTGTCTTAAATTTGTTTACAATGAGGACTTAATGTGCATATGAAATTATTTAACTGTGATTGTGTTAATAGTAGCCTGTTTGCTGCTGCTTCATGTTGCAGTTGCCGACATACTTCTGTGGAGGAATAAGAAGGAGACACTCACCACAGTGTTCATTCTTGTTTCAATTTACTTCAACTTCATAGCATCGGGATACACCATCATCAGTATGGTTTCAAAGCTTCTCTTGGTGGCATTTGTTTTTCTGTTCATCCATAGCATCTTACCTAAGAAAATGTATGCATGCTATTCTCTTTGAACTTCGTTATACCGATGTTTCTAGTTTGCTCAAGCTCAAATTATTAATCCCATAAGCATATAACATATTATTGTTAGTGATGTACTGAGTTTTTGTGATTTGGCATTGTGCAGTCCCATCATTCACGAAGGTCACAGAAGTGCAAAGCGGGTCTTTTTCACACAAACTCTTGCATTGTTGCAAACTAGTTTGCGCAATTGTTTCGTTTGGTGGGTAAATTCCATATAGGAAGGTGTGATTGTATCTAGTCATTATGAAACCGGATTTACAGTCCTGTCCATATGGAACCAAACATTTTGAGTTAGAATCGGTTGTTGATGAAAACGGCATGCATTGAAGACGCATATGCCAGAGAGGCCACACGTTGCAAAAACTTTACACTGATTCTCAACAGCTTGCCAAACCGGTCTCCATAACTTAAGAACATCGAGCCATGAGTATAGCCGAAGATTTCCATCAACATCTAGCCTAAGAAACCGGAGTTTCACATTTGAATCATTGTGATCTTCTCCAAACACAGACCAAACAAGTTTGGATCTTTGGTCAAGAAGCTGCAAGATTCCATCAGAGTTGAGAATGGCTCGGAGAATTGATTGAGAATGGATTCCATTTCCACTGGTCCAGTAGACAACATGACTTTCCCACCGGAGTTGCAAATGACCTGAAGTGTCCATACGAAGACTGTAGTAACTCGACATGGAATTCCTGCTAGCAGCTCGAAGTGATTGGGAAATAGATAAATTCTGACCCGGGAGGATCGTGTCTGTTGGGGTGTCGAAGCTTTGCCAAACGATATCTTGCTTTCTGTTGAGAAGAATGAGATTGCCACTGTCAAGAAGAACTGCTGAAGCAACCGATGAATTGGTAGTTTTGCTTGTCCAAACAACGAATCCCCTAGTGGAATCAAACAAAACTAGTTCTCCATTTTGGGTCAGCTGGAAGTAAGACTTGTCGCCCACTGTAAGGTCAGCTCCGGCAACCCAAACCACAGTTTGTTGACCAATTGAGATAGAGTTTGAATTGAAATGGATCCCAATACTGTACTGATCCGAACGATTAAAGAATCCAATTGCAAAATTCCCATTGGAGGAGGACCAATGATTGTTTTCTACTACTGAAAGTTTTGAACCCAAGGGAATTTGAGAGACAACAGCTAAACAAAGCAAGAACCCGACAAAGATCAAGAGTATTCTCTCCTGGCCAAACACATTCGAATATGCCTAGAGATGCAGATTAAGAGACGTAAGAGTAGGAGCAGCCTCTAGTATCTGCATTGTTGACAGTGGATAGCAGAGTTATTGAATCTTGGTTTTCCAGAAACAAATAGATCAAAACAGGCAGCTAGTTTAACAACTCTTGATGCTTTTCAAAACCAAGCAATTCTAAAGAAGATTGTGAACAAAAGCAACAAGAAATCAAAGACAACAAGAAGTCTAGTGCCGACAAATTTTCACTGGCTATTGAAGTGATTGAGCCACATTTTCACAATTTCTAACCAATACCAGTTGAAAATCTACTAGTCTGTAAGGTTTTAAGAGAAGCTTACAAAAAAATTCAACATGATCAACATGAAGAACATATAAATATACATATGATAATGTGTGAATAATTGAAAATGTAGAACAATTAATGCAGAGTTTGATACCTGAAAAGACTTTCAAAGCCCTATAAATTCAAGAAGCCACCAAGCACCTACAAGAAATTAAGCATGTGAGCAAACAAGAAATGGATGAATGACAATTGAATCAGGAAGCATATTGACCTAAACAATTCAAAACTGGACCATCAGAAACTAACTGTAAAGCAATAAAAACTTGTAATTAATCTAGAAAACAAACATATTGTATGCATTGATTGGGTATTGAATTGAAACTTTGGGCACAAAAGGGGCCCAATTTAGGGGTTTTTTTATTTTTTATTATTATTATTATTATTTAGCATATACATAATGCAAACACTTTCAGAGCCCAAAAGTGAGACTTATAGCAATAACTTACAGCAAGACAAAGATTAAAGGGCCAAAACCCAAAAAGCTATTATAGCGTATTTATACATATACACACAATTAAGTATGTAGATAAGGACTATATATGTAGAAATTGATAGAATGCATTGAAACCCTGCTGAAGTAGTACTACCAAGTTAAAGAGGAGAGTGAAAGTGAAACCCTAGAATGAAAAGGTAAATTTGATGCACTAAACAAGGTACATTTTGAGATCAATCAAGTGACACTAAATTACTTGAAAAGCTGAGCTGTGTAGTGATAATATTAAAAAGGGTTTGGACTCACCACCAAGACAAGAGCATGAGTTGAACCCATTTGCAAAAATGGAGTCAATGTCGCCGGAGAAGCTGACGGAGAGTCGCCGGATAGAAGAGAGAGAAAGTCCAAGTCTGAGCGACCGTGTGTAAAGAAATGAGCCACATGCCTCTGTTTATAGATTAAAGGAAAAAGACAAGAAAAAATGTTTTAGTTTTGGATTTTTAAAAATAATTTTTGAATTTTCAGTTGTATATTGGCCATGTTTATTAGAATTTTTTAAGTTAAAAATTAATAATTAAAAAATATAAGGAAAAAAAATTCCTTAGTTCTATATAATTAAATCTTTTAAAAATTAGTTTAACAAATTATAAGGAAGAATAGTACAAAGCATACTCCTAATTTAAAATAAGTTATAATAAGTTAGTTTACTGGAATTTTAAAATATTGTATTCAATTTTTTTACTTTTTAACTTAAGTTAGAGATTGTTTGAATGATTTATATAAGTATTTTTTTTTATCTTTTTACGAAAAAATATATAAAAATATTGAAAAACATCAGTATGTTTAGTTTTAATTTTCTAAAAATTGAGTTTTTTATTTTTCATATTTTTTGTTTTTAGTGAATATTTTCAAAATTTTAATCAATTTTTTTTTATTTTTTTAGATGCATCTTACTTAGATGTATCTAAATAGTAAAATATTTATGAAAAAATATTTTTAAAAATTAATAAATACACAAAAATATAAAAAATATGCTGAATTTTTGTATTTTTTGTTATATTTTTAGTATTTAGTGACTTTTTAAAAAAAATTATAAATATTATACTTTTTAAGTGTATAAAAAATTTTAAAAATTACTTCAAATATTTAAAAAATTCATTGAAAATAAATAAATAAATAAATAAAAAATAGAATTTTTTAAAAAGGATTTGTTTTTGAAAATCAAAACTAAACAAGCTAATATAACTCTAAAAAGATAAAATATATATATATATATATATACTTTTATATGAACATGTTTTTTTGTCAACTTTATTGACTAGATATTTGGAATGTCTGGAGGAACCTAGGTCAGCACCTAGCCCATTCATTTGCCACAATTTGCGCCATTGACCAAAAAAATGTTGGAAAAAATTAGTGATAAATTTAATTTAGAGAGTGTTTAAGGCATTAGGTTCAATATATATTTTTTTATTAGTGAGAAGTTTACGCTTTGTGAAATAATTTGGTCAGAAGTTTTATAAGACATTTTGTTTATAATTTTACCCCTTGACTTTTTTTATTTGTTTGATTTTTTGTTGACTATCTGTTCAAATTTTTTACCTATCTGCTCAACTTTATATCTATCTGTTTAAATTTTTTCTGTTTAATTTTTTTACCCTATCTGTTTGAATTTTTACTATCTGTTGAATTTTTACACATCTATTTTTTCTCTATCTGTTGAAATTCTCATGTTTAACTTATTTTAATAGATCATATACACAATTCAAAAACTTATCTGCTCAATTTTTTTCTATTTGCAAAAAATATCTGTTAATGAATCCACTATCTATTTGAGTCATTTTATCTCTCCACTATCTGTTGACCCATTACAAATCTCATCAACAACATTCATCACAACAGCAACAATCAAACGACAGTGATCTCTTAACCATCATATCTATGTTGTTCCAGATCTTTATTGTTCAGCTTCAACAGATCTAAGGTAAGGAGTTCTTTTTTTTTCTTTGCAACTCAAACGGCGAGACTAAATTAATTTTTGTTATTGTAGATGATGTTTTCCACAAATTATCAACGAATCAATGAACAAGTTATAGATATAGACAAAGACATATATATATATATATATAACTTGCAAAAACTTTTTGAAATAGAAAAAAACTTCAGAAGGTTTGGGAATTTTTCAAAAAAAAAAAAACAAAATTAGAAACAAATAATATATAAAGAATAATAAATATGAAATCAAAATCAATAGTGTCAAAATATATATGCTCGATCTCTAGTAGTAGAAATCAAAATCAATATCAAATTGATAATAGTAGCAGTGAAAGTGATGATCAAGTGTTGACAGTGTAGAAGAAATCGAGCATAAGTTTTCAAGAGACCGATGAATTCATAGTTTTCGATAGTAGCAATGGACAATTGGTTTTCCTAGTAGATAATTACTTTAGAAAGAATTGAAGCTGTTTTGGATATAGATGAGTATGGCTTCTCCTAATGGATGGATCTAGAAAAGCTTTGCTTACCTTAAAACCCTAGGTAATTAACCACTTTACTCTGTATAATACATGTCGGTGAGAAAGATCACGGCGGCGAGGGCAACGAGAGAAAGTGATAGAGATGAAGAAAGAGGATCTCGATTGGGGCAAAAAAACGCAGTAGTGCCATGCCAGCAGTAGAGGTCCTCCGAAACCTTTTGATCAAGCTTCTATGGTAGAATTAGGGTTTTTAGAGAGAGCAAACTAGGGTTTGAGATAAAGAGAGATAAAAAGAGAGAGAGAAAAAAGAGTAGTCTAAGTAGAGAGAGGGCGAATGAGTTTTGAAAAATGTATACAATATATATATATATATAGATGGATAGTTTGATTATGTTGTAAGAACTTATCCTTATAAACAAAGTATTTTAAAGTGTAAATTTCTTATCAAAAAAATCTAAAATTGAATTTATAGGCTGGATGTGCTTTATAATATTAGTGATAATATTTTGGAAAATTTAGTCTAACATTCATTCCCAACTTTTAGTCATGGAAAAGGTCCACAATATTTCTTTTTATAGTCTAAGGTCCTCAGCCATATCCTCTCTCTT